ATATGTCAAATAATAAAACCTCAGTAATAATACCTAGAAGAAAAGCATGCAGATGGGTAACTTTCCTATCCAGAGCAGATTTAAGGTGTGAAAGAACTGTTGTGGCTCTGACCAACTGACAATCTATAACATAAAGGCCATAACATTTGAAGCATCAATTCTATTGTAGTTACTGCTATATCAAAAAACACTTCTTAATTTAAAGAAAGCATTGGAGTTTTCAGCTCAATTCTAAACTCATTTTGATGGTTAATCATTTACACTATTAAAAACATTGCCTTGTACTGCTACTCCAAATCTATCCTACTTCTGCTGTCAAGCATGGGATTGTCGTACTTGTTTCTAACAGCCTGAAGATTAACAGAGATCTCTTGAGTCTGAAGGCTGTGATAAACTGCCAAAGGATGTAGCCTCTGGATTTTATTAATTTCATTCAGTATTTATGCAACACATTTGTGCTCCATAGTTTACAAGGTTCCTGTCAGGCTCCCACCATGCAAGTTGTTGTACAAACTCACAACTGCACCCCGTCCTATGGTATCACCCAGACAGTGGTATGTTTGGTGCTTCACCATTCCCAGTCATCACCATCTTCCTCTGGCTGTGCATCACAGACAACCTCCTTCATAATTTTATGTTTTAAACCTCTCCACTTTTTCTCTTTTGATTTCAGCTGTGACACCACTTCGAGACATCCTCTGGCTGCTGTGGTTTGAGACAGAGTGAAGCGAGGAGGGAAGGCAAATGAAGAAGCAGAGGAGCCAGATCTGCATCACTGGCACTTTGAGGAGGTTAATGGCCTCTCACTGGCCCACCCTTGTTTGTGAGCATCGTGGTAGAAGGTGAGCAACAAAGCAGCACTGCTGGTGGTGAGCCACTCCTCACCAGCACGAGGGGCACCGTGGGGAATGCATGAAGACATTTGTGTGAACACCTAACAAGTAGGCAGCAGAGACTGGCATCAAGACCTGGTTTAAGGTGGGAATCAAAATCCCAACATCAAGATGCTAAGCTTTTCCCCAAAGCGTTCGTTGTCCTGCTCCTCTGGCCCTTGAATCTCCTAGTTTTTACAGAAAAATTGTTTCACTCCTACTTTTCTCCCAAGCTTAGCACTGGGCTCCTTTCCCAGACCAAGTTTTTAAGCTAATTTTTTAAAAAATGCTCTTTCCCCATGAGACAGTGTGGGGGCAGATGTACTCTCTGACATGCCATGGCATGAGTCCAGGCACTGCCATGCCTCAATCTTTGGTATCTCCACTGAATCAGCTTGTGTCTATCCAGTGGGACTGCTTGCCCTTGGAGACACTTTCTTCTTCCTTTCCTTCTCAGAAGAATGGGACAGTTACATACAGCACCAAGTTCCCACCCAGAGGTCGTGGTAGGAGACAGGAGATCTGGCCTGGAAAAATATTTGAAGTCAAGAATGTTTTGAAAGACTATACTAGAGAGGGGTCAGGCATGTGAGGGCAAAGATTTGTTATTTGTAGCAAATCCAGTGTCAGCCACGTGAACAGAGACAGGGCTGGAGGCACAGCATGGAAAAGCAGGCAAACAAGCCTGGCAGCTTCTTCACGGCTAAAGGGTTTGGATGCCCTCATGCTTTTCGGGTTTTTTTTTTACAGGGAGATATTCTTTTCTTTGAAATATTGGTCTCGAGGCCCTTAGGGAAGAGGAGGACTGGTCATCCATGTCAGGTTGAAGATCGATGAAAACTTCCTTTTATACTCCCTTCCCCCTCTTCCTCCTAATGTTTTCCTTTCATTTTCTTATCACAGAAGGAGACAGCTTTTCTCAGCTTGCTCTCATCTCCTCATTTGAGGAGTTTTCTCACACTTGTTTTCCTTAGTTTTCTTTCTTAACCTTTCCTTAGTATCCCAGTTTTTAAGGAATTCAGATGCCTTCAACTCTACTTTTTGCTCAATGGCCTCCTTTTCCTCCCAGTAAACACCATTTTCTGGATCCTTACCTCTTTTCTTGCCCTTCCTTCCTTCCAAACTCTGTCTTTAATTTCCTTCCCCCAGTACATTTTACCTCTGTGTGCATACAGTCTGTTGTCTACAGCATCACCTTTCCTCCCACACACCTCTTGTGTCCCTTTGACAACATGACCAGCCTCTTTGCATCATCCCTGGGCTCCCTTTGCTCCCTTTGCCTGTGCTGCTGACATTGCTGGGCTTGTTGCACTGTCACCGCTTGGTGGGTTTGAAGGAGGCAACCCCAGGTCCCACGAGGCCATGCTGCTGCCACCAGCTCACGCTGCCCACTCCCAACCCAAGTGTATTTTACCAGAGCCCTTCTGCTCACATCAACAGCCTTAGGGCTGCTTTGGATCCAATCTTAATAGTCTCTTTGGCATTGCTCTCTATAGGCACTATTCCCTATCACTGCATATAGGTGTCACGCCCTGTGATGCCTATAAAAGCATATGATAGCAGATAAGCTACTGGAGCAGAGGTGTCAAAACCTCTGAACAACTCCATCTCACTGTGTTTGACTTCTCTGTCTGTCTGTGATCACTTGGCTGAGAGTGTGAGCTTCCCAGGGCAGGGCAGTCCTTTGGCCTTTATCTTCTCAGGACAGTGAGTGTCCCAGCATGATGATGACACTAGGCTCCTTATTAATATCAGTGTTAGCAAGAACAGAAAAAAACCCCACAGCTCCACAGTTAAGGGTCACAATGGCTATCTTAGATTAGACAGAAGCTGGAGAGGTGCCTTGCTTAGCGAGAAAATGGGAGTAGAGGAGCAGAGCTCCACGCTGGCTTTCACACTGATGCTCCTCATGGGAAATGAGAGCCTGAGGCTCCTGTTGAGTCAAGGGTTATCCATTTGCTGGCAAATAGAGAATGGGCAGGCAGACCCCAGCCTCACAACCTGAAAGGAAGGAGATCCTCTGAGTTCCCCAAAAGCAGATAAGAAGCCCCTGAGGCTCAGAAGACAGCTTGAGACTGGTATTTGATGAGACAGAGGTGCTGCTTTGAGGCAGGAGATTGATGTGCAAGTCCAGGTTGGAGGGAGGATGTTTCCTGGTGGAAGTCATCGAATTGCTCAGCATGCTGGTTGCTGTTATGCCCCTGTTGAGATGCCTCATGCTGCCTTTCCATCGAGTTGGGACCATGTCTATCCTGGGGTAATATGTGTCATTCTTGGAGTGGGGTGTATAAAGTCATTGATGGCCAAGGTTTGCCTGTGGAGCAGGGCTTACCATGCTTGTGAAAATATTTTTTCTGTTGCCCAAGTAATTGCAAGCCTGAGATCAGAAATAACATCTAATATCTAGGTTTAGTTTCAGTTCTTGGTTTCCCAGGAGCTTTTTTAGATCTAGGAAACTTAAATTTTAAGCCTGCTTTTTGGCTATCTTCAGATGAGACTGCTTCTGTGTTTTCACTTCATTCACCTTTCCTGAACACGACTAACTCTTTTTGTCAGGGCTGGGTGACCAAGGCATGTGCCTGGACCTAACCCAAACTCACTTACTAAATTTCCTGTTGTTCCCTAGCCTGTCCAGCCCACCTCTCTCTCTGAGCTTCTAACACCACACCTAAGAAGTGCTGATATATTTCCTTGCCTTGATACTTCTAGTATCAAGGCGTAATGGATACAAGTTGCTCCTGGGGAGATTGTGACTAGATTCCAGAGGAAGATTCTTCACCATGAGAGCAATTAGATATTGGAATAGTCTTCCAAGGGAAGTGGTGGATTCCTTAACTTTAGGCAGTTTTAAGGCTCAGCTTGACAGGGTGTTGGGCCATCTCATTTAAACTGTATTTCTTTACCTTAAAGGGTTGGACTAGATGATCCTTGAGGCCCCTTCCAACCTGGTATTCTATGATTCTATGAAGTCATCCCTGTGTAGCACTTTTACAGGCTCCTTCTCTGACCTTGGGCAGGTACTTTAACCACTCGCTGATCCATTTCATAATTTGCAGTATAGACTACTCCTACCTCATCTACAAAATGCTTTGGGGTTTGTAGCACTTGGAGTTTTTTCCCTGGAAATCACAATATAAAAGGGACCAGTGCCTTATTGGACCCAGGATTCTTTTAAGTTGTTATCAACACAGTTGATCATACCTAATTTCTTGGGTAGGAAAAATACATGTTTCCCTGACTCTCTAGAACTGCTCTGTAGGCTCTTTTCCATTCCCACTATTCTGAAAACATTAATTTTCCCAGTCACTGAAGGAACACAGCTTTTTACCTAGCAGTAACTGAGGTATCATAGGCAGCTGTTCACTGGGCTGGGTTTCACTCTGCTCATCATAAACTCAGAAGAGCAGTTTCATTCCCCATAGGGAGATTTTTTTTTGGGTTTTCTTGGCCAGTTATAGAGGTTTAGCCAAAATATTCAGAGGTGGCTGTTGATTAGGGGTATGTGATCTGAGGGTCTGCATCCTTCTGCCTTGTTAATCTCTTCCGAGGGAGAGTCTGCCAAGGTGATGTGATACTGGAGGGTTTTGGATGCCCTACACAGCTCCAGGAGAGACAGGAGAAGAAATGCCTTTCCCAGGCACCCATACAGCACAGGGCTGGCAGCAACAGTGGTGACAGACACCCCCAAAAGGGGCAAAGTGAGTCCCCTGCCACCTTTCCCTTCCTCTCCGTCTCTTTAGCCAGACTCGTAGCCAGAGAGGGCAGCTAACCTTCGCTCGGTGGTGAGTCTGACTTTGCAGCATAGCCACTGGCAGCCCCAGGAACATTTCTGGCTGCGTCAGCCAAAATTCCTGCCGGGGACTCTGCTGCAATGCAGCACACCACACCCCCACCGGCGCGGAGCCCCAGCCTGGCCAGCCCGTGCTGCTCGGCTCCAGCCCCGCATCACCGTAGGCTTCCCTCCTCCTCCTCCTGCCAACGAGCCCGGATGATTTCAGGTTGCTCGGCATCATCTCTGGCGGGCAGTTCGCGTGTGTCGGTGCCTCTTGGCACACGGTCGGTTTCCCAACGAGCCGCCTGCGGAACGCCTTGGCTGCCCGAAGGGATCGGCTGCGGTTTCGCATTTCATTTCCCTCGCACGCTACACCCGAATTCCAGACGCTTTCTGGCTTCGCCGCTGCATGGACTCAGAGCACAGGTTCTTGGCCGTACCCAGCGGAGGCAGCCGGGGCTTCCCTCAGCTCCAGGGAGTCGACCATGAAGATGTGGATTGTGTTTTTGCTTTGCGTCTCGGTTTTCCCAGGCTTTTCCCAGGGCAGAGTTGTCGGAGTGCATGAAACTGGTTTTGCCGAGTGTAACGTGTTCTTCCCCGGAAAAGTGCCCCCCGAAGGATTTACGGAGCCCTTCCACGTGAAAATCTGTCAGCAGTACAACAAAGAGCCACGCTTCGCAACCCTCTATAGTACTAAGGACAAAATCCCTCTTTATTCAGCTTTTAAGTATACAAAGCCAGCCCAAAACGAGGAGGAGAACTGGCTGGTCGAGCCGCAGGTAAGTCAGCTTTTCCTTCCTTGTAAAAGCAAATATTCCTGGAGAACTTTTCCTCTGGGGTGAAGCTGAGCATGAGATTTTGCAAAGCAGGCAGGAGCTCTGCTTGCTGAGCTATTTTTGATATCAATTTAACATGAGCAGAGCTTATTTTTGTGTTTGCTACTGAGCAAACAGATAGTCCCTTGTCCCACGAGGATTTCCATGAAAGCTAGAAGGGGAGAGGAAGATCATCTTTGACAGCAGCTGGTGTGTGTCCTGCTGAGGCAGCTCTCGGGGACAGGGAGCCCTGCCGGTGGGCAGCAGGGTTAACATCGCCGTGTCAAGCTGAAGTTTGTTCTGTTGCCAGTGTGATGGCAGTGTTGATAAGAGCTCTTTGGCTTCGCTGCACAGGGATAAAACATCCATTTGCGGTTCACCAAGTCGATGCCGCAGCTTTCTGTTGTGTCCCTGTGTCGCAGACTCCGGTAGGGAAATGAGTTGCTGTGTCCTGGAGCGTGCAGGCTTCAGTCGGGTCAGAAGCGTACAGGAAAAAATGAATTTCCCTGGAGCTTCAGTGGTTTTTGTCTCCCCTGACACTTGGCATGCCTAAGCAAGTCCTTCAGGCTGTTAAATTTATAGGAAAACCGAAAAAAATTGCTGGTGCCCTAAAAGAACATGTGCTCTTCACAGAATCACACCTCTCTCTCTTTTTTCTTTTATCTTTTTTTTTTTTTTTTACTGTGTTCCAGGTTTTCCCTTAGTGATCTTGAGGAATTTTGTAGCAAACACCAAGTCAGCACCCACCTACTGAGCTCAGGAAAGATGGGCAGCATGCAAGGGTGCTTTGGCAGGGAGGAATGGCTGCAGTATCAGAACAGCATGCTGGGAACGGGGCCCTTGGGTGCTGGGTGCTGCACATCACCAGAATCAAAGTTCACCCCTGTCCTGAGAAGTGGCTGCCATGCTCATTTTCCTCATGCAGGGTGATGAGATATTAAGGCCACGAGGTCAAAGGCAGTGAAGACAGGAGATCCTATGTCCCTGTCTTCACTTTGGACTGTGTCCCTGCTCTCCAGACTGGGTTGGGAGTTCCCAAGGGTCTTTTGATCTGCTCTCCTGCCACTCACAGATGGCTGTGGGCGGTGTGTGCTTGCCCTTTTAAAACAGAGGAAAGCTTTTCACAGGCTGTCATTATGGAGAGTTGAGGAAAGGTGAGAGGACTTTTTTAAGGTACAAAGAGGATGTAGGCAAGTGAGCATCTGCTGTCAGAGCCATGGGGGCAGCGAGGCAAGGCACAGATATGAGATCTTTTCCCAGTCACCTCAGTCACTGTTGCCTGTTGTCACCTCTAGCCCCATATCTCCTCCTGCTCCTCATGGTCTGACTCACCAGACCTGCCCAGGCAGGCTTGAAAGCTGTTCCCCCATGACTGCAGCAGGCAGTCCCTTCACAGCAGCTGTAATTCTCCAGCACCTCCCTCCAGATGGGTCCCCTGCTCTCCCCACTCCATCCTTCCTCACCCCTCACCCTGTCATCGTCCCTGCCAGCTCTCCAGACCCCTAAACCTTGTGGCTGCTGCCTCCAGACTATACTGCAGCCCTGGAAATAATTGGCCAGGCACTATCAAGGCCTACAAAAAAGTTGGGAAGGGACAGCTTACAACCATGTAGCGACAGGATGAGGGTCAATGGTTTTAAATTAGAGTAATGTAGATTTAGATTAGACATTAGGAAAAAGTTCTTTACTACCAGGGTGGTGAAACCCTGGCACAGGTTGCCCAGAGAGGTGGTGGAGGCCCCATCCGTGGAGGCGTTCAAGCTCAGGCTTGATGGGGCTCAGAGCAACCCGATCTAGTTAAAGATATCTCTGCGCACTGCAAGGGGTTTGGACTAGATGACCTTTAAAGGTCCCTTCCCACCAAACAAATTCTATGATTCTATTCTATGATTCTATAATTCTACCTGGCTTCTCCAGAGCATCCCCATGGCTTGCTGTGGGTCTGTTCTTAGTTTACACTAATGGGTGCCTTTCTGAAATGTAGGTGTCTCAGAGATGGGAGGTAGCAGCTTTGTGGTGCACTGGAGGAACCTCTCTCTGAGACAGAAAGCCACTAAGAAAAAAAATTGTCTGAAGCATCTGTAAGGAGAAGAAGTCAGGACTAAAAAAACTTACTATAACTTGAAATAATCACACACATCCCTTTCAGATCTGGAAGGAAAAAGTAGGAAAGACACCCATTATGTGTGTTCCTGTCAGGGTTAGGTCAGATTGTTAGGAACAGTCAAGTGGCTGCTGAAGGGAACCCTTAGCAATACTTGCTCTATAGCATAGCCCCATGAGGTTATATTGTCATTTTTCTGGGTAATTTCCTTGCCAGGACGGGGACAGCTGGGTGTGAGCAGGCTCAGCTGTGCAGTGGCACGTGCTTCTGCCTATGTGCATGCACATGGAGATACAGGGACCCAGCAAGCAGAAATATAAAAATGCTGTCAGCACTCTGGTGAGGGCCCCAGGGGTGTCACATGCTATTTTGGGGGGTTATGATGTAAGTGGTGAGGGCACCGTCCCTGCATGCCTACCTCCTCAGGAATGTCTGCTGGAGAAACAAATGCCAAATGTAACTCAGAGGCAGTAATAGGGTGAGAAGTGTGAGGAATGTCAGTGTCACCCACCCCCAATTGGCAGCTGGAAACAGCGAATTAATTCAGCAATTAGTGAGAAATTAGAGAGCAGGAAGGGCAGGCTGACATGCAGGGTGCGATGGGAGTCCCTCAGATTCAGGTCTGAAAACCTGCTCTGCCACAATTTTCCTAGGGATTGAGAGCAAGTCACTTAGGTGGCTTTCACCTTACCTCATCTCATTTGTCTGAAAACCTATGGTTTGGACTCTTTCTATAGCTTAAAAAGAGATGGAAAACTTTGGAGTTGCTTTTTTTTTTTTGTCCTAACATATGAGGGGCTGGATGAGTCACCTTGTGTTTTCGTTTGGATGATGACTACCACTAGCCAGATGACCAAGGTGGAATTTGCGTCTCTCAACTGTAGCTACATCTGAACTGCTCTTGCCATCTCTCTTGGCAGACAGACAAGAGAAACAGGTACTTCTAGAACCACTCGTGAACATCCTACAACAGAAACCTTGGCGTAAGAAGCACTGTGCTTCCTCCCTGGGACCTGTGCTAAGACTAGGTGAAATATCTCCACTGCAATCAAAAGCGTAGGAATGCCTGAAGGCATAGCAAAGGGGGTGGGATGCTGAAATTCATCTGGAGCCGTACTAGGGTAGGGAAGGTGGGAGGTAACAACGTCCTACACTGTTAAATGACCAAACTTGATGGCAGCTGCCTGCTTTAGTAGCTGTATGTTGCTACAATTTAATCCTTCTCTGTCTCTGTGCCTGCCCCTTCTTTGAAACTGCAACTCCCACTTCATGAAATAATAATAAAGTTAGGTATTCACATCCATACAGATGTTCAGATACATGACTTACTTTTAAATCCCCATCCTATGAATGGGGTGTTTACCCGTCTGCTTGGATCTTGCCCTTAGTTATTCCAGGTTATTTGGACAAGGGGCTTCATTGCTGACTCCATGAATACAGATGTGCTTTGACAGTGACACAAACTAAAAGGTTTTTGAAGCAGTGAGGAAAGATAGCTTGCAATGCAGATTAGATGCAGTACTGGAGACAGCTTGTCATCAGGGATGAGCTGGAGGATGCATGAAAACCCTGGTTACACATGAGGTATTACAAACCATAATATGAGTTATTAAAAGCATAACTTGGTGATGTCAGAGCCCTACACATGAACAGCACATGGCTGCATTTTTATCATGGCTTTTTTAATTGCATATAAACAATCCCAATGGTATGTGCAAAAACCTGCAGCTGAACAAGTAACCAGAGATATATTTTCTTGACAGGCATCTGAAGGTTTACATACACCAGCTCCTAAGGAGAGAAAATTAAGTTTATACCATCTGCTTCACGTAGGCTTAGAGTGTCTGCCAGGTGGGCTACCAAGCTGGTAAAGGGCTTAGAACACAAGTCTTATGAGGAAAGGCTGAGGGATCTGGGGCTGTTCAGCCTAGAGAAGAGGAGATTGAGAGACCTCATCGCTCTCTACAACTACTTGAAGGGAAGTTGTAGAGAGGCGGGGGTTGGTCTGTTCTCCCTAGTGGAGAGCGATAGGATGAAGGGAAGTGGATTTAAATTGCGCCAGGGGAGGTTCAGGTTAAATATTGGGAAGAATTTCTTTACTGAAAGGGTTGTCAGCTACTGGAACAGGCTGCCCAGGGAAGTGGTTGAGTCACCATCCCTGGAGGTGTTTAAGAGATGGGTGGATGTTGCGTTGGGGGGAATTGTTTAGTGGGTTGATAGGGCTGAGACAAAGGCTGGACTTGATGATCTTCAGGGTCTCTTCCAGCTGATAAAATTCTATGATTCTGTGATTCTATGAGGCAGAGCTAACCTGTCGTGGGTGTACACATCCTTGTGATACGGCAGCACTGCCATGGGAGTGAGAGGGGGATGAATGACTCTGCGAGGGTGTCAGGCTTAAAAGGGCCGGAGCATGGAGGGCAGTTCCCAGGCGTCCATGCCCACTCGGCTCTCACTGATACTGTGGGATTAAATGCACTGGGTGCATCCATTTTCCCATGGCATGACACTGTCATCTCATCAGAACAGGGAGAATGAGGTGGTGGTGGTGAACAGGAAGGGACAGTGATTTTGTGGGATGCAAAATGTCTGGCCTTATCATCTGCAGCCTGTGGGTTTGGGGTGTCTGAGCAAGAGGAACAGAATAAGGCAGAAGTAGCAGAGGAGAAGTCTTTTTTAAGTGGTGTGTTGAGAAAAAGCTACAACTTGTGCATCAGCACGTAGGGCTCACTTCCAGTCCTGAAGCAATAAGCATTAGATGCTTCAAAACGAAGTGCAAGAAACCTCCTAGCAGGAGGTGCGGGTAGTGCAGCTCTCTGCAACCACCAGCACTGGCACTCTGACCAGCCTTGGTGCAGAGGGAGCCCTCAGCCCTGACTGCAGAGGCTTGGCTGGTGCAGGAGAGCTCAGTCCTATGCGAGGGAGATGGAGAGATGCTGACAGTTGCTGGCACTGGCCCCTTCACCCTGGCTCCCAGCCAAAGCTGTTGCATTGCTGCAAGGAGGTGATGCGGCACCAAGAGGATGCAAACTCTGGGGGCGGTGGCAAGGACGTAGGATGACATCTGTCCATGTGCGTTGTGGGATGGCCAAGGGATGGGAAAGGATGACTGAGGAATGATTCAAGACAGAAAATTAGCTGTCTGCCATAGGTGTCTGCAAAGTACGTATTTTATGGTGCAGTAAACGTTCTATAAGCCAGGAACAAAGACAACAGGTTTAATGGAGCTAGCACAGGGCTGGGACCTGAGGACCACAGTCTCTGAAACAGAGACTACAGAAGGCAGCGACTGCCACCCCTGAACTTCTACAAACATGCTCACTCTCTAATCTGGGGAAGCAAATGACAAGCTGGCATAGCCCCCCCACCCCAAGAGGGGCTGCAGGCTGTGTCAGTAGTCTAAGGAGTAGACAGAACTGCAGCCACCCAAAAAAGACATGAGCATGCCCTGGTGTTAGTGCTCCTTTTCCCCCTTCTCATTAAACCCCTGTGCGTGGCTCTCTGCATGACTCCAGGATGAATTCTCACTGCAGCAATTACTACGTCTCTCTCTGCAGCACGGGAATGGCAGACATGAGCAGGTATCACAGGTTCCATCAAAGACCTGTGGTGGTGGCATCCTCACCCATGTTATGCCAGGAGCTGTGCAGTCATAAAGGATGAGGTTCAGACTGTTAATGACATGAGGTTCAGACTGTTAATGACATGAGGTTCAGACTGCTAATGACAATCCCTGAGAGAGCCCCAGGAGCTCACTGCTGCATCTGTGTTCAAGGCAGGGAAGTTCAGGTCACCTGCCATGGTACCTGGCTTCATTCTGACTTTCTACACAATTAGTGGTGAGAGGTAAGTGTCTTCTCTAGGCATCTTAGTTACCATGTGTTTTTTAATTCATGGCTTGGATTTGACAGTTCAGAGAGACTGAATTAAGGTATCGTGATAGATGCTTAAATGAACTGGAGGTACCACCACCATAGGAGGTGAGCACATGGCCCTAAATCAAGCCATCTATTGGTCTTAAAAATCTCTTCTGAAAATAAAAAAAAATATGAATTAGAGGCTTGGTGTAGCGTGCTTGGTGAGATTCTGGCAGCTGTGTTGTGCTTCAGACCAGGCTGGGAGCTGCAAGCATCCCTTGCAGCCTAAACTGATGTTTGTCAAGGCATCTAAGTAAAGCATGTGCTCCTCTGAAGCTCTGCAAAGAAATGAGGGAATGCAGGATGTGATCTGAGGCACAGCGTGAAGTAGCAGTCATAGTGGAAAATATACTTCAATGCCCATTTTACATGTTGCTTCTTTTTTTACATCCAGTAACTCTTCTCTCTGCTATTTCAGATAGATGATCCAGAAAATGACCTGCATGAGATGGTGCATGAAGCTGATATTGTTGGCACCGTGGCCAACCTTGGTGCAAATCAAGCCCTGACCTCAGACTACGTGGGCTCCGGTTATGAGAGAGGGCTGCTCAATCCCAGCTTGCTCAATGAGGAGGATTTCCAGATGGCCACTTACACGCTCACGAACGCCGTGCCTCTGAGCTCGTCTCTGAGCAAAAGCTGGCACGGAGACATCAGAAAGGTAGTGGAGCAAGCTCTAGTCCCTCACTGCTCCAAGAAGGATCATCTGTATCTCCTCGCAGGTGCAATTCCTTCCAGTGTCCGAGTGAAAGGCAAGGTATCAGTGCCAGAGGCCCTCTGGCTGGCAGCCTGCTGTGATGCTCCAGAGGGATGGTCCCTGGGACTGGTGAAGAGAGTGAATGATGAAAACAGCTTGGCAGACCTCACAGTGGGAGAGCTGGAAAGGCAGCTTCTAGCAGGAGTTGACTTGTTCAAGGGCAGCTGTGGGGAAGACAACCAGGAGAAAGCAGAAGCAGTACTGCAAGCTGTCGGTCAGATCCGCTCTGGAGAGCAAGTAGGAACGAGTGACGACCAGGAGGCCAAAGACAGTGGCTTTGTGAGGAAAGTGGCTGGCATCATTGCTACTCCTTTCATCAAGCTTCTGGAACTCCTTATCTATGTGTTTGTGGAGCTGGTGAAATTTGTGTTTTATTTTCTGTGGTTTGTTATCAAGCGGATTTTCAGCACAGTTCTGAATGGAGTCTGTAGCCTGTGGAGCGGAGTGGTGTCCTACCTTAAAGCCATCAGCATGGTGCTCATCAGCATCCCCTACGATGTGGGAAGAGTCATCGTCAACATTTCCCTGGGCTTTCTGCAAATTGTTCAAGATGTAGTGTCCATCACCTACAGGATCCTGTGCATCCCTGTGGGGTTCATCCTTCACCTCGCTGCTTTCCCTTACCACTCCATCTGTGCCATCCCCTCCGTCCTCAAAGACATGGCCACTGGCATTGGGGGCACCTTCTCGCTGGTCATCGATGCCACAGCCACACTTCTGCACGGCTTTTATTACCTGGTTGGTCACATAGTCAAACGGTTTGTCCCTAAAGGCTCCTCTGATGACTGATAGGGATGGAAACCAAGGCTGCAAAGACACAAAGCAAAGGAAGACTGGGGCAATGCTTTAAGATACCTGGCCAAATGCTGTCAATTTTGTTCTGGTATTTATTATAGTGACATTAATAATAATGAATCGACTGGGGAGTAACAGGGAGGGCTGAGGTAACGCCATGGGGGGGCAACCACTATTGTAACTCAAGTTCTATCTGTTGTAAAGTGTTCGGGTTTTATCGGTGCAGGCCACGACATTTCTGTGATTTGCAGATGTCAAGATGCTTCCTCTGGGAGATGCACGCTGAATGTGGTACGAGGTTATTTCTTTCTGGCAATGATAACGCTGAGACCTACACACCAGCAGTGAGCTCTGCAGAAGCTCATCCCTCCCAGGGAGGGGGTGGTGATCAGGGGAAAATTTAGTTATGGAGGGTTGTCTGGGACCCGGAGAAACAAGAAGGAGGCAAGGGCACAAGGATTTAGGGCTGGGAAATAACAGGGAGAGGGGTGGGATGAGGGCAAGGTCCTCCTGTTGGCTGCACTGCTCATTGCACCAGGGTCCCACTGGTGGAGGTGATGCGACTGGGTGTCTCTCATAGTCCTCAGGCCTGTCCAGGCAGCTGAAATTACGTGGATCCTGCTGTTCTTTCACATGCTGGGAAAATGTTTTCCCTTAGCCATGCCAAGGTCATCTTCCCCCAACCCTTCCTTGCTCTCCGGTGACCACTGAAAATCTGAGCCCTGAAGATTCAAGCTGTGGTGTTCTCTGAAGGTCTAAGCCCCTGAATTTCTCAGCTCTGAAGCCCTTGTGCCTACTCTGAAACGCCGCAGCAGCCGGGAGTCATGCTTTTGGCTTTGAATCAAATGCCAGCCTGCCCTGCCTCCCTTGAGAGCCGACATCTCCCCAAGCACACAGCGGTATTTGTGTGCCTGAGGTCTCTGTGAGACGATGCCCAGGCTGGCAATGGGAAGGTCTAAGCCCCTGAATTTCTCAGCTCTGAAGCCCTTGTGCCTACTCTGAAACGCCGCAGCAGCCGGGAGTCATGCTTTTGGCTTTGAATCAAATGCCAGCCTGCCCTGCCTCCCTTGAGAGCCGACATCTCCCCAAGCACACAGCGGTATTTGTGTGCCTGAGGTCTCTGTGAGACGATGCCCAGGCTGGCAATGGATAATCCCACAGCCGTTCTTCTGAGGCTTGTTTTGAAACCACACCTCGCTGGGGAAAAATGATCCTCCTGGGTTTCCCTTTAGTGTAACAGAAAAGTATTTCTGCATTTCCCACTGCTCTGGGTTGGTGGCAGGAATGTCCTTATGGAAAGGCGACACGGGAGAGGGGATGCATGGGGAGCATGGGGGGATTTTGCTGCTTTTGCACAGGGTAATTTTGGTGTTTTCATGACCCCTACTTGAGGTGGAGTCAGAACAGGGCAGAAGCCAGCCTGGGGCAGGGCAGATGGGTTCCCATCGGTGCTGTGCTGGGAGTGAAGCTGTCCTGAAGGACATCAAGGAAGGCAGTCCTGCAAGCGGGACAGAAAAGGCAGAGGAAATAGGATACTCATGATGAGTTGCTTGCACTTGGAGGCCCTGGCAGCATGGAAGAGATGTTTACGTGGCTGTCACAGCTGCAGGAACCAGCATGGCCAAGCTCAACCTAACAGCAAAAAGCAAAGCCTTTTGTAAAGCATTTTCCCTCCTTACTTGATTTTGAAAATCTGGAGGAGGGAAAAAGTGGTTGCGTTGCCTCTATCACCCATGGAAACTATTGACTGTCAGATAGGAGGAGAGGCAGGAGGGGATGTGGGGTGCAACTCTTGTTTTTCTATGTAAATGCTCACCTGACAAGCCCCTGCACAAACAGACACATTTGTGTTGGAGAGGGACCCAACTTCTCTTCTGCACTGCTCGTCCTCTCTGCTTCATCTTTACCCCTTCTCCCTGCTGGCATGAGCTGTGAATCTCCACACATGGGACACCAGAACTGGGAAGTGTGTGGGAGCTTTGCAGGGGACCATCAGGGGTTTGCAGCTGGTTGAGGGGCACAGGGACACCCATCACTGCTGGAGGAGGGCACAAGGGTGCTGTCCTTCCCCAGGGCTTGGCTCAGCAAGAGGCTTTGGATCTCTTGGTGCAGCTGCCAGCAAGGGGGAGGCTCTTGGTCCCAGCAGTGCTTGCTTTATCTGGACTCCAGGAGGCGTTTAGGAGTCCTACATACTTGGATCCTTCAATTCACCCCCACCTCTGTCCCCTCCTCCAGCACCAGGATGGTTGTCTATCCTGATCTGCCATAGCATCCCACAGGGGATCTCGGGGGTGTGCAGGCCAGTGCTGCCATCCCCACAGGGGACCCAGTGGTGCTGTGGTGGTGGTTGCCAGTCCTGAACTGAAGAAAAGCCGATTACTCAACAGGGCAAGTTTGCCTCATGCTGCCTGTGGCAAGGCTGAGCTGGAGGTGGGTGGATTCAGAGGGTAAAGGAGATTTGGCTGGTTCACAGTGGTGACAGAGCGTTGTTTCCTTAGCTCAGGGGCTGCATTCAAGGCGACCACCTGTGCGTGCATGTCCCAGACCAGGTAGCACCCTGTTCAGCAGTGATGCAAGTGGCGTTGTTGGGGATACTAGTGATGGGGATGAAGTGGGGAGGTGGTGGGATGAGTGGGGAAGAGAGGGCAGCTCCTTGTCTCACCCTTTATGGGCCACAGCTGGCTTGCCAAGAAAGAGAGGCCACCTGCAAGAATGCTAGCTTTGTTTAAAAGGAAAGGCAGCTTTTGTGTGCCGGTGTTGGTGTAGTTGGGTGAAGTCAGCAGTGTTTTGCAATCCCTCCTTCTCCTTGGAGCTGTTGGTTCAGGGATTTTAGGTACAAGGGGCAAGGTCCAGGTCTCTGCTTCCAGCAGGCATACGGCAGCCTGTAGATTCTCTCCAAACTAAATTTTGTGTCTCCCTGCTCAAATATGCTTTCCCTGCTGCAGAGCCAGATGTGGAACGGGTTTTCCAGTCCTTCATGAGATCCCATCTCAACCCTAGCACTCCTCTCAGGCTACATGGCAGCCATCAAGGCAGGAAAGCAGCCAGCCCAGGTGCCAGGAGGTGCCATAGTGGGGTGACAGGGGTGCCAGCCTGAGGGACTCAGGGTCCCCAGCAGCTTCTGAAGGCATGTGTGGCAGCAGCAGCTGTCAAGTGCAGCCCAAGCATTGGGCAGGAGGTAGCTGCCCCCCACAGCTCCCTGTCTCGTGCCTTCCGTGTGGCCTTATCTCAGATCCACTTCAGCTGTGCGGCTCTGCGCAGCGGCCAGCAACGCGCTCGGGGGTCCTGCACCCTGAGCAGCTTCCCCACACCTTAAATCAGCAGCCCCCGTGTCCCAGCTCCACCAGCCCCTCCAGATCACACTGACACGGGAGCTCACAGGCAGAGAGGCAGCAAAGCTGAGGCACTTCGGGAGGTTGGCAATGCCACATCTCCATCACCTTTGCTACCCAGCCTAGCTCAGGTCATGTCAGCAGGTCTCCGTGCTGCAACCGTGTCTTCCGACCACAAGTGGTCAGTCCTAGAAAAATGAGGGGCTGCAGCACAGTAGGATCTGGGCAGATGTGGAACGATATTATTAAAATTGTCTTAATGTGCTCAAATTTCAAACACAACTGCAGCCGGCATGGGGCATTTTTCTTCTGTGCTTCATGTCTGAGCAGGTGATGGGAGATCTGCCTTGAATGCTGAGCAATTATCACAGAACAAGCAACATCCTGCTACAGACTAACTATTGTTTGAGATTATTCTTATCTGGGCATGATTTATGGCTTCTGAGCTTTACTCTATCCTTGGAAACATGCGGCTTCAACAAAATAAAAGTTACTTTTCCAAAGAGGGGCTGGTATCACATTTCTGTCACAGTTGCAAACAAGATAATGCAACCCTGGCTGCCCTGACTAATCAAGAAAGCACTGGCAGCACAGTTGTTCTTTGTTATGGCTTGACATCTGATATTAATGCCCCTTTTGTGCTTTTAAAACACCTTTCCTCTTTCAAAGCACTTTAAAAGAGTCAATTCATTAAACTGCAGAACATGTAGGTAAAAGCTGAGGGGTTACAGGCAGTGAATTTAGCTCTGTGTGCCAGAAGAGAGAGAGAGAGGGGATGTTTTATTCTTGCAAGATGCACAAAGGCTGGTTTTGATAAAGAAAAATCACATTGCAGAAGGATGATTCCACTCAGCTAACAGGGAGAAACTCCTTGTCCGATGCCATTCCCTTGACTGGTTTTATCACAACTTCTTTAGGAGAACAAGCACTCCCCAAAAGTGGCCATTTTCATCCACTGACTGCACAGAGATCCTGAGATAAGTGAACCAGATGTTGGCATCTGCATTTGCTGGTACCTCTCTTTGGGTAGATGAACCCCTCCAGCAGTGTTCCTTTTGGGTCTTCATGAACTGGTGAGACACGGGAAAAGGTTGCTCAGAGAAGTTCTGGATGCCCCGTCACTGGAAGTCATCAAAATCAGGTTGGATGGGTCTTTGAGCAAGCCCATCAAGTGAAGTATGCTCCTGCCTCAATTAGAGAAGAGAAGGTTCAGGGGAGCTCTTATTACCATGTACCAGTACGTAAAGGGTGGCTACCATGAAGATGGAGACTCCCTTTTTACGAGGAGTCACAGGGATAAGACAAGGGGTAATGAGTACAAGTTGCGAGGAAATTCAGAAAATTCCAATTGGACTCCAGAGGAAAATTTTTCACCATGAGAGATCAGATGTTGGAATAGTCTTCCCAGAGAAGTGGTGGATTCGTTTTAAGGCTCAGCTTGACAGGATGCTGGGCCATCTCATTTAAACTGTATTTCTTTACCTTAAAGGGTTGGACTGGATGATCCTTGAGGTCCCTTCCAACCTGGTATTCTATGATTCTATGATTCTAGATCACCCAATGCTTTGACACAGGTGTCCCTGTACACCTCGAGGTGACCCTTGTCTCTGTGGTGTTCACCCTGGGGCTGGGCAGCAATAATGACAGAGTGACTCAGCAACC